GGGGTAATAAGGGGAGAGACTGCAATCAGGTTAGTACAAAATAAAATGAGTAAAACAGAGTAGGGTTAAACCTGAAAAAATAAACGCAACAAAACAGCGAACGTGTCGACAGAAAGCCTTCGTCAGCGAACAAAACAACAGAAAAAACGGTATAAAAATAAAAATAAGAAATAGCACTTAGCTGGTAAGTAGTATCTGTGGGCAGCAATAGAAGTGTGAAATAATAAAAAATATCCATGACACGGTACCATTTGAACTAGCAAATTTTAATTATGGTGCTAAAAAAACTACAACCTTGTGCTGATGAAAATGTTTAGTTGGGAGTGCCTCTCACGCATTCCTCAGCTCATTGTGAACAATAAAGTTTTAAAGGTTTGACTTGTTCTTTATACAAAAATATATATATATATATATTTTGACGGAGCCAACTAGCTATCTTGACAGAGCCAACTGTTTATTGTGACAGAGCCGCGTGATTATTTGACATGGCCAACTGATTACTTTGACTGGGCCAACTAGTTATTTTGACAGTGCAAACTAACTATCTTGACAGATACAACTGTTTAATGTGACAGGGCCATGTGATTATTTCGACAGGGCCAACTAATAATAATTATTTTGACATGGCCAAATTATTATTTTCACAAGGCCAACTTCCTATCTTGACAGAGCCAACGTTTTATTGAGACAGAGACACGTGATTATTTTGGCAGGGCAAACTAATTACTTTGACATGGCCAACTGATTATTTTGACATGGTCAACTTATTATTTTGACAGGGCCAACTGAAAGAGCCAACTATCTTTTTTGACAGAGCCACTTGATTATTTTGACAGAGCCAAATGATTATTTTGACAGGGCAAACTAAACATTTTGACAGAGCCAACCATTTATTTAGACAGAGCCCACGAATTATTTTGACAGAGCCAACTGATTATTTTGACAGGGCCAACTAAACATTTTGACAGAGCCAACTATTTACTTAGACAGAGCCTACTTATTATTTTGACGGAGCCAAATATTTTAGACCTTTGGCGAAACGTCATGATTTGGACGGTGCGCCGTTACCACGACTTTGTCTAACAACTCTACTTTCAAAGTTGCCCCTTTACGTCATCATTCGGTGTGACTTTTAGCGGCTAATATGGGTTTTTTGATTCGTGGGTTGTTGTTTTTTTTTTTGACAGGGTCGGGCACAAATTTCAAATTTACAAGAAGAGTTAGGTTTCCCCATTTTCTTTATCACAAGTGAAATGTAATATTTGAAACTTGAACTTGAAGGAAGTTCATTTCATAGTGCAGTTAGTTTTGACGTAAAGTTTATTAAGTACTTGCTATGGGGAAACTCTGAAGAAGCCGGACATTTTAAGCAGTTATGTAATGAACAATTTAAGATAAGATAATATTCGATACTTTTATTAATCAAAAATAAATTAAAACATTTCATTTGTTTATTACATTGAACATTTGCATTTTCAGCACATAAAGAAATACAGGAAAACCGGGAAAGCATTTTACAATTTAAAAAAAAAGTTTAAACAATAGACGTCTATGGCGTTGGTCTAGCGTAGAGATCAGCCATAAATGAGCTCCTTTTGTGACAATAATGACTTAATTACTGCTCATTTAGATTTGATAACCACTTTTTTTTTGGGGGGGGGTGGGGTGTGGGAGGGGGGGATCGGATGACGCTGGTAAAGATCTACATTCCGGGGAAGAAAATATTTTTTTTATATCTTAGGTATCTGTGATGAAGAGGGTGGAATGCATCGTCCAAAGTTTATTTTTAATTTAGTTTAACAAATTTTAAGTAAGACAGTTAAATAGAGAAACCATTGACGCAGAAATTAAACAAGCCACGAAAAAGCAACGTTTTTCGCATAAATCCCTTATACTAGTTTTTCATTATTTTATTTGAAATTAATATTCTTATGTCACACCCACTTTTACACTGTATATTTATTTCACCAACTGTTTCAGGCAAAAGAAAAAGAAAATATTACTCACCAAACGGACTTGCAATCTTATCGGGAATGTTATTTCACTGGCATAATATTTCCGTCATCTTCCCGTTTAAGGATGTTCTGATTGTGAGGGAAGAGGTTTGAGTGGTGTGAATTTCACAAATTGTGTTGTCCTTGCAACAAGTCTATGCGCCAAGTTTCAGCTCGATGGAGTAAATTGGTCCGTCCGAAGATTTTGATCCCCCCCCCCCAACAGCCAGCAAGACATAGATGAACAAACGCGAAGTTAATGAGGGAAGAGGTTTGAGTGGTGTGAATTTCCCAAATTGTGTTGTCCTTGCAACAAGTCTATGCGCCAAGTTTCAGCTCGATGGAGTAAATTGGTCCGTCCGAAGATTTTGATCCCCCCCCCCCAACAGCCAGAAAGAAATAGATGAACAAAAGCGAAGTTAACATAAAGGATTAAATATCAGTTACATCCGAGCTCAGCGTGAACACGACGTCATGATCATGTATCCGGTCTTGTTTAACTATCATATTTAGAGGTTGTTGATACATTTGAATTGACCAGCTCAAAGGAGAGTTGTGTTGACCATCGTTCCAGAAAACACAGAGTCATCATGTATTCCGGAACGATACCTTCTCTAGGCGTGCAATGCTACTAGTCCCCCACTTAACCACTGGTCAACTTCCAAGATCCCCAACAATCTTACATCGTTGTCTTTCAATTTTAGAGCAAATGAATTCTTTATCAGGCCTTGTTCACATCATTTCAACATATTGCCCATTTCTACATGTTCCCCATTTCTACATGTTCCTCGTTTCCCCTTATTCCGCCTTTCTATATGTTCCATATTTCTACATGTTCCATATTTCTACATGTTCCATCTTTCTACATGTTCCATATTTCTACATGTTCCATCTTTCTACATGTTCCATATTTCTACATGTTCCATCTTTCTATATGTTCCATATTTCTACATGTTCCATATTTCTACATGTTCCATTTTTCTACATGTTCCATCTTTCTACATGTTCCATATTTCTACATGTTCCATCTTTCTACATGTTCCATATTTCTACATGTTCCATCTTTCTATATGTTCCATATTTCTACATGTTCCATATTTCTACATGTTCCATCTTTCTACATGTTCCATATTTCTACATGTTCCATCTTTCTACATGTTCCATATTTCTACATGTTCCATCTTTCTACATGTTCCATCTTTCTACATGTTCCATATTTCTACATGTTCCATATTTCTACATGTTCCATCTTTCTACATGTTCCATCTTTCTACATGTTCCATATTTCTACATGTTCCATATTTCTACATGTTCCATATTTCTATAATTTAACCATTTCTAGCCTATACTCATTGCCATCTACCATATCTGTATAGATCCCAGGGACGTCATTAATATAAGGCAGTGTGGTGCATTTGCCCCCCCCCCACCCAGCCTCTCTAAATTTATAGGTTTTATTTAAATTGATATGTACTGTCGCGCCTCCAGTAATAAACAATTTAATAAGCCGACTAAGTTTTGGTTCCCACCCACACCCACATTCCCCCCCCCCCGTAGAAAAATCCTGAAATGACGCCTCTGATATACCCCCTTACACACGGACACCATTTTCATTTTTTTTTAAACCTCCATATTTATTTTAATTGTTGCATAACTTTTTATTTTGGATTATTTTAGGTTTAGTGAGTTCTTAATGTGAGTGTACGGAAGTAAAGACACTGAACAATTCATAGAGAAATATAAAAACAAATTGAATAAACATACTTTAACTAATAAACAGTTTAATACATAGTTTAATAAATAGCTTAATACAAAAATTGAATAAATATTCTAGTAAAAATTTTTTTAAATAGTCTAATAAATGATCTAATAAATATGGCTTATGTTTCGAACATTCATCAGTCTTTAGAAGAATGAGTTCATTAAGTTCGTACAAGGATAAAAATATGAAAGGACGGATTACGCAAAATATTTTAATATTCAAAAACAATTTACTCTCTATCCAAAGCGCGACATTGCCATAAATAAAAGTAGCTCTATCACAAAGAAAATAATATGAACCCGTATTGCAGACATTTAAATTCCACACAATTCAAATGATTGCACAGAGAATATTCGTCTCCAATAAAAAAAATGGTTAAAAAAATTAATTTTGCAACACATCCAAAAAAATACGCATTTCATCTTAATCTTCTGTTTTAGTTTCTTGTAGTGTATCGCTCTGCATTGAATTTTAAAATATGTGTCACACAAGAGATGTACATAGATATGTCCGGAATTTTAGTTGCAAATAGCAATACATTAAAATAAAAAAATTAAAAGGGTTAAAGTAAATATATACTAAACAGTTTATTGCCTAAATCTTTACTTTAAAAAAAAAAATTAAGAATTCTCAAATTATTTGAAATTAA